TTTAAAATTAACTGTGTCCAGAAAATAATTGTCAGAGGCTTGGGTTGTTTTGTTTTTTAAAATTATGTATTTTTTACCTAATAATTTAATGTGTATGTGGGAACAGAAATCAAGAAAGTCTACCATTACTAACAATTTCTATCTAACAATGAATACAGAATTAAAAAAAAGAAGCTGTCTTTGGATTTCTTCCTCTCTGTTCATTTTATGCTACTGCAGTTTGTATCAATAATAATGGCTGACATTTATATACTACTTTTAAATTATAAACAACTTTGCATGCTGATATTATTTAATTTTCACAACAACCTAATATGGTAGTTAGTGCAAATATTATTCTTTTTTTATAGTTGAAGAATTGGAGGCCCAGGCAAGTTAAGTTGTTGGTCCCATACTACCCAAATAATGATGAAACTGGGAGTCAAATCAGGTCTTTGGATTTCAAGCCCAGTGCTCTTTCCACTCTCTCCACCATGTTTAAACTTTTACTAAACAATAAATATAATCAATACTAATTATGAAGCCTTGGGACCACAAATCCACCTTTGTATTTTATCTCTTGCCTGGGATTAAGGCTAGACAAGCTGTTGACTGTTATTCTACATCTCAACTACCTGCATCTTTTCCCTTGTTACTTTTCCTTTCCCCCCTCTATTCCATTCCTTTTTGCCCCACATGCATGGAGTTGAACTTAATCCTGGTCTAACACACAGAATTCTTCAATAACAAATTCTTCTATAACAAACTACTTTATAGTCCCTTATCTAATCCAGAAGCCAAACCCTTACAATCAAGGAAATTAGAGAGAAGAAAGGGGGCTTTGAGGTCCTCTATTTTCAACTGAGGAAGCCTTGACGGATTAAATGACTTGCCTAAAGGTTACAAAACTATTTAGTAGCAGCCAAATCAGTTCTAGACCTTTGATCTATTAGGACATAAGTTCCCAAAGTGGGCAATACCACCTGGCATTGGGGGGGGGGGAAATGTCAGCAGTAGCCTCAGGTGCAATTGGAGAGTGTTTAATAAAAACAAGGGGTCAGAAAGAAGATAAGAAAATTGTGAAAAACCATTAGCATATGTTACATCTGTTAGTCACAGTGATTACATTATTTTCCAAAAAAACATACAAAATGCAAGTTACAACTAATCAGGTGGTCGAAGTCTGCTGACAAGCAAATGTTGGCAGGTATGTAATGACTTGTTTACAATGTAATAGGGTTACATCATGCAATACTGCATCATCAAAATTTCAATGCAGGAAAAACCCACAAATTTACAATAAATTATTAAATTTAAGATGTATTATTTTTAAAAATCTCGTATTTTTTTGAAATGATGCAAATTTCAAAAAAAAAAATTTAAAGGGTTAAAGAAAGTAGATGTTTTCGGGGAAGGAGCACTGTTTTTTTTTTTAAATGAGGCAGTAGGCCAAATATGTTTGGGAACCTCTATATTAGGGTTAACTAGGTTAAAGGTACAAAGTATGATTCACATACTCAAGTAGTATTATCTGTAGAAAGTATCATTTTAATGATAATAGTTAATATTCATACAGTGCTTTACAATTGGTAAAGTACTTTAAATACATTATCTCATTCAAACCTTACAAGAACCCAGCTTTTCTTATTCCCATTTTTCAAATGAGAAAATTGAGGATTAGAGAGGTTAAGTGACCTTCATTGGGTTACAAAGCTATTGTCAGAAGCCCGAGCATGACAGTCAGTACAGTCAGGCTTTATGAATATTCTTAAAAATAAATGTAACTAAATAAAAGGAGTGACAACTGGATAAACAGTGAAGAAACTGGAACTAGAAACTAGAAGGATTAGATGAAAAATATTTAGCCTGGAAAAGATTTGGGGTGGGGAGACATATAAGCAGTCTTAAGGATTTAAGGGTTACCATGTGGAAGAGAAAGTAGCAGAACTATAACTAATAATTTCTGGGCTTGGGACAATCAGCACAAATATCTTGAAATCTACCCTTGGAGGAAGAGATGGGAGTGGGCAGAGACCTCCATCTTGATTCCCTGAAGGTTGCAGGTGAGACTGCCTGACAGGGTAAGTTAGCCCTATAACTCATCAAAAGCGGGACTCACAAATGGAAGTCAATTCCAGTCTTATTATTTTTGGTAAAGTCAGTTGTTTCCATTCTGCTGAAGGAATATTAAATGCTGTCAAGGTCCTAGGATAAAGCCCCATCCTCAACTCTGGGTCATGTATTGCTCAACCACCACCTCCACGCCCACCCCAGCCCCAGCTTTCCTCTCATGGCTCAAGGAAACAGATGTGCTCTGCTTGGCCCTAGAAGCAATGGGTGGAAGTTATATTGCATCACACATCAGCTAGATTTAAAAAAAAAATTTTTCTGACAATTCCATTACAGGATGACAGTCTAAGAGCTGGAAGAGACCTTAGAAAGCATGTAGTTCAATTCCCTCATGTTACTGATGAAGAAATTGAAGCCAAGAAAATAAGAATTTGAACCCAGGTCTTCCAAACTCAAAGTCTAGCTGTAGGGACAGGGAGGTGTCAGGGTGAATAGAGCACTGGCCCTGGAGTCAGGAGAACCTGGGTTCAAATATGGCCTTGGACACATGATACTAGCTGTGTGACCCTGGGCAAGTCACTGAACCCCAACTGCCTCCTAAAAAAAAAAGAGAAAGCCCAGCTCTATAGCCACTATATCATACATCTATATATAAAAGCAAAGTGGAATAGTGGAGTGGTATAGTAAATATGTATGTATTTACATGTGTATATATGTATGCATATATGCATGCGTGCATGCAAAAAGGTATACACACACATAACATGCTGTCATGGCTCCCAAGCTGGTCTTGGAGGCTGGAAAACCAGGCCCTAGAAGAGGTAACTAGGAGGAATGGATAGAAGAAAGTTAGACAGTATTAAATCTTAGTAAGATGTAAAGAAAAAGCTCTTGTAATTAGATCACAGGATCATAAATTGAGAGCTGGAAGGGATCTGAGGGAGTATCTAGTCCAACTGCCTCATTTTACTGATGGAGAGACTGAGGCTGAGGAGAGGTTAAGTAACTTGCTGTTCTGAGTCACACACTACTGTCAGAGGAAGGATTTGAACCTAGGTCTTCCAAACTCCATGTTAAACAACTTCAACTGGGCCCTCACTGCTGCTAGGCAATCCTTCTATACCTGCCCTCTTATTAACTCGCTATCCCACTCCTCACAGTGGCTCTTCCAAACCATTTCATCCTCCATCAAACTTCGCATTGCTCCTCTTCCCCAACTCTCAGCTGAGAAACTTGCCTCACATTTTCCAGAAAAAAACTGAAGCCTTTCACCATGAGTGCCAGCTTCCTCATCCCATGTCTCTCATAAACCTTCTATCACTATCTCTTCCTTCACTCCTATCTCACACAAAACGGTGGCCCTACTCTTTAAAAAGGCTAAGCCCTCTACCTATTTGAGATCCCATTCCAGCCTATCTTCTCCAACACATTGCCCCCTCTATCATTCCCAGTGTATCACTTATTTTCAATCTCTCGCTCTCTACTAACTCCTTCCTTACAAAGATGCCCATGTCTCCCTATCCTCAAAAATCCCTCACTTGATCCTTCCATCACTGTCTTATGTCTTTTCTGCCTTTTTGGCTAAATGCTGTGGAAAGGCTATCTACAATAGATGCCTCTCCAACCTCATCACCAAAACTGCTCTCTCCAAAGTTACAAATAATCTCAATTGCCAAATCCAGTGGCCTCTTCTCAATCCTTATTCTGCTAGATTTCTCTGTAGCCTTTGACACGGTCGATCACCCTCTCCTCCTTGAAATTCTCTCCAGGTTTTTGGGACACCACTCTCTCCTGGTTCTCCTTTGACCTATATGACCACTCCTCCTCTGTCCCTCTTACTGGATCTGTGTTCAGGTAATACATTCTAACCATGTGTTGCTATCCTAGACCTTCTTCTCTTCTCCCTCTATATTAGTTCACTTAGTGATCTTATCAACTCCCATGGACCTAATTATCTCTAAGTCAATGATTCTCAAATTTATCTATGCAGCTTTAACCTAACCTCAAATCTCACATTTCTAACTGCCTTTCAGACATCTCAAACTGGATGTCCAGTGGACAATTTAAACTCAACATATCCAAAACTGAACTCATTCTTCCCCTCTACAACCCTTCCCTCCCCCCTCTCCTGCCCCCCCAAAGTCCCTATCACTGTAGAAGGCAATAGCATCTTCCCAATCCCACCCTTGACTCCTCACTATTTCTCAGCCACTCATGTTCAATCTGTTGCCCAGACCTGTGCATTTCACCTTTCCAACACTTCTCCTGCCTGAATTACTTCGAAATACAGCCTGCTCATGGGTCTGCCTGCCTCAAGCCTCTCCCCACTCCAATCTATACTGGATTCAGCAGCCAATAATTTCCCTAAATCGCAGGTCTGACCACATCACCTCGTATATACACAAATTTATAATTATGTCTACACACAATAATTATTCTGTAACAAATTATGTATGTGTATATATATACATATACGTACATACATACATATATGTACTTACACAATTCATACATATATAGACATACATACATTTGGGCCCAGAAGACCTGAATTCACATTCAGCTTTAGAGTCCTACTAGCGATGTGACTTTGGGCAAGTCGCTTAACCTGTTTGTCTCAGTTTCCTCATCTGTAAAATGGCCATAACAGTATCCCAGGGTTGATGTGAGGATCAAATAAACTCACTTTTGTAAAGCGATTAGCACAGTGCCCGGCACACAGTAAGTGCTACATAAATGTTAGCTATTACAGAGTGGGAAGTGCTGCCGTAAGCAGAACTGGAAAAGGAGTCCAGTTTGAATCCTCCATTTTATACTTAAAAGCTAAGCGATCCAGGTTACAAGTGACTTAACCTCTCTCGGCTTCAATTTCCTCATCCTTACGAAGAAAGGACTGCACTAGATGCTCTTCCAGCTCTCAGTCCAGGGCCCTGCTTTTCATTCTGGGTTACCTTGGGAAGTAGCGGGGTTCTCCTCGTTTTGGTGCTCAGGCTGGGAAGGCAGCAGAGGGGATTCTTTTTCACTTAAGGCCGCGGACGCCCCGTCCATCTGTAGCAGGAGAGCAGGAGCGAGTCAGTCGGAAGACACTCTCGGGGGGAGGGATGGCCAGACGGACGAACGCACTTTCGGACCTGTCGGGACCAGTCCCTGGGCCGCCGCCTCCTTGGCAGTCACAGCAGTCACTAGAGCCTCGGGGACCCCACACTCCCTCCCGCAGCCAAGGGCGACTGCCCCCGCTCGTCCGCCCGCCCCTCCGCTCCTCCAACCAGCAGCCGCAGCCTGGCCCCCGCTAGTCCGCCCGCCCCTCCGCTCCTCCAACCAGCAGCCGCAGCTGGCCCCCGCCCCAGCCTCTGAGCTTCCCCACTTCCGAGGCCGTCGGGCCTTACCTTCCAGTTTGGATCCGCCCTCCCAGCGTCTTCTCGTCCCCGACCCTCTAAGCGAAACTTCCGCCGACCTTCCGGGACAGAAATCCCGCCTTTCTGGTGGCTTTGGAATTCATTGGGCTTGGGAAAGGCTTCCTGTAGATGGTAGGATTTTGTCTGGCACTTAAAGAAGCTGGAGAAGCCAGGCGACTGAGACGAGGAGGGAGAGTGTTCTAGACCTGGGAGACAGCCAGAGAAAATGCCTGGAGCCAACAGCAAAGGGCGGGTCACTAGATCAAAGAAAACCTCTTGGGGAGTAAGGTGTAAGAAGACTGCTGAGGTTGGAAGGGCATAGTTATGAATGGCTTTGAATGGCCCAGCAGAGGATTCTGAATATGGTGCTGGATGCCATGAGGAGCCACTGGAGTTCATTGAGGGGAGGGAGGGAGGGGGGTGAAATGGTCAAAGCTATGCTTTTGGAAAATCACTTTAGTGGCTAAATGGAGGGATGGGCTAGAGTGAGGAGACATTTGAAACAGGCTATTGCAATAGCCCAGGCATGAAGTAATGACGTCAAGAGTGTGGTGATATTAGAGGAGAGGAAGGGGGCATATTCAAGAGGTGTTACCCGTTACAAAGGTGAACAGGACAGGTCTTGGCAACAGATTGAATTTGAGGGGTGAAAAATAGTGAGGAGTCAAAGATCACACTTAAGTTTTGAGCCTCAAGAATTAGGAGGATGGTGTTACCATCTACGATGATAGGAGAGTGAGAAGGATTGGGGGGAGAAGATAATGAGGTCAGATTTGGACCTGTTGAGTTTAAGATGTCTACTAGACAGCCAGTTTTTGAGATATCTTGAAAGGCAGTTGTAGAGGTAAGATTAGAAGTTAGCAGAGAGGTTGGGACAGGATAGTGAATCATAAACATAGAAATAGTAATTAAATCCATGGGAGCTCATGAGATCATCAAGTTAAGTAGTACAGAGGGAGAACCGAGGGCCCATTGACCCAAACCCTCCCCAGTGTGGATACCTATACTTAGTGGGTGTGACCTGGAATGCAGATACTTCAAAAGTGAATGAGAAGGAGTGGTCATATAGATCAAAGGACAGAGTGGTATCCCACTAACCTAGAGGGAAGCAAATATGGAGGAGGAGAAAGTGATCAAAGTTTCTTCGGAATTTGAATTGGATTTGAAAGTTTCAAAGATTGCAGAGAGGTTAAGAAGAATGAGGACTGAGAAAAGGCCATTGAATTTGGCAACTATGTTGTCACTGGCTGTTTGGCTTAAATTTCCTCTTCTATAAAAGGTCAAAGTTAAAAGATCTCTAAAGTCTCTTCCAACTCTAAAGTGATACACAGAACTCATAATTCAAACATAAATCTTTGTAGATCACTTTAACTTTGCATTCAAAACTGACAGCTTTGTAAAGGTAAGTTCACAGTTTAGGTTAATAAATATCTTTGGCTCCTCATCAGGTAAGGTAGCATTTGCTCAAGTCGTGCTGGCAGAACATGTGTAGCAGGTGCCTTGCCTACGTAGACGGCCTACTGCCAATATCTTCAGCTAGGAAAAAACCAAAACTGTTTGGAAGCCAAAGTCCATCAGAGCAGGCCTAAACAGCATAAAATCTAGGAGTAACCTGTAATGCATGTCTTAGATAGCCAGCTGGTCTGATTTGTCTGGCCAGCTGGTCTGAACCAATCAATGAACCAATAATTCCCCGAAGTTCCCATTACCCACAGGGCCAATTACTACTAAATATGAATTTGTATATTAACATGAAGCTGCCATATAATGGTAAAGGCAACTCCTAACCTATGCTAACTTACATTAAAGCCTACGCCAGGGATAATAATTTAAATGGCAAGAATTGATGAAATTGCTTTACTTAAGCTATGTGATTAATTTCCCTGTTTCAAATGTTAATTTTTCTTTACAAAATGTCAAAGTTGTGATACTGTTATCCTTATTGGTGTTTCTTCCTTAGATCTTAGGGACCAGAACAAAATTAGCATGAATGTCCTGGAAATAAAAGGCCCCCTTAGTTGGCCTTATTTTGCAAATATGATACAGAACTGGAAGAGTAAGATACTCTGCTCTTCTGGCTACTTAGCAGTTGGTTCTTGTAAAATAAACAGATATAAGAAGTTGAGGAAAATATAAGTACTGTTAGCAACAGTCATGCCTTTCAGTATCGATAATTAGTAAGGTTTCTTACCTCAGTCCATGCTAAAAATATTGCTGAACATTCATCCCAACCTCCAATAGTTAACACAAGTTCACATGGTCAACAAAAGTTGTGCTGTGGTCATAGTTCTTCAGTTTCTGTAAGACCATCATGGTCTTCAGACTTCCAGGGCTGACACTCTCAACTTTCCAGCTGGACTCTCTGGCCCTGTTCTCTGCTTACAGGAGAATTTTTAGCTTCCTTACTCCTGGACTCCCTTCCAATACTAGCATTTCTGCATATCCACAATCTTCTGTACGTTTATCAGAATCACTCTCTCACTTCTTTCTGTCCCCTTCATTAATCAACAGGGAACATTCTTGACTCTGTATCTTGACTCAGAAAATCTTTATAAAGAGACAACCTGTTTCCATCAGGAAGCCAATTTGAAAAGCCTGTTTTTACCCACATAGTAGGAGAACACAGAATGACTTCCCCTAGAAACAGATTCTTGGCATTTACCATGTAGGTAATTGCATTTTGGGTGATCTGGGCATGTGTGAAACAAAGTGACAGTTATATCTGGAAGATGCTTCCTGTAGTTTGCTTCCTAGCTCTACATTCTGTGATCCAAATTTACAGAGGTCTTAACAGTCAGTTGTGGTTTTCCACTGCAAAGATAAAAGCAAGTAGTCCTTTGTCTAGCTCAACTTCATACTTCCTGGGCTAACACTCTCAACTTTCCAGCTGGACTCTCTGGAGCTGTTCTCTGCTTGCAGGAGAATTTTTAGCTTCCTTCAAAGCTCTGAACCCTTAGATGTTAGTGTTCTCCGCCTTCTCCAGTTATTTTGTGTTTATATATACATTGTGTCTCCTCAGGAGAATGTAAGCTCCTTGAGGACAGGGACTATTTTTTTTAAATTTTCTTTTTGTATCCTCAGTATCTAGAATAACCCTTAAACATGGCTGCTGTTTAATGAGTGTTCCCATTAAGATATTTGCTTCATTTCCCTTGTTTTATAGCAGGGCTGTAGGAATGAATAAAATAGAACTACTTGCACGTTATGGGGGAAAGATACTTACATTACTATTCATGCATGAAAAAATCATTTTAAATAGATTGCTTCAGGAGAAGTCTTGGCCTAGAATTAATTTGCTGAGAGAGAGTGTTACCTCCTTCAAGCTGTCCCTTTAGGAGCTAGGAAAAATGGAGTTTTTGGTATAGAAACTCCATTTTTGCAAATTGATTCATACAGGCAGTTTTGCATTTGTTAGTCACTAATTTATTTCCTATTACTTTCTTGAAACTAGTTTAAAAATAGAAGTAAATTTAAAATTCATTAACAAGAGAAAAATTCTAAAACTAGACAGTATTTAACCATCTCAAGGTGGCAACACAAATAAAATTTTTTTCACTAAGGGGTAAGAAAAAGAATTGATTTGATAGCTGAATGCAGTGAAGGATAAACTGTATGGCATAGAAAGCCCTCCGTAGTCTGGCTTCCATGAACTTTTCCAGACTTATTTCATATTATTCCCCTTTGTGCACTCAAGCTGTTCCTTGAGAAGGACATGCCATCATCCATCTTTGTACCTTTGCATAGGTTGTCCCTCAGTGCCAGGAAGGCAATTCTTCTTCACCTCCACTTCTTAGAAACCTTAGCTTCCTTCAAGGTTCAGCTCAAGTGCCATTTTCCACTTAAATTCCTTCTTGGTCTCTATCCCTACTTCTTTTTTTATTGTTCCAGTCCAAACCACTTACAGCCTCCTTCTTGATCTTTGCACAAGACAGTCCATCTCCCTAGCATATTTACTGAATGTTCCCCATGCCTAGAATGTTATCCTTCATCATCTGTGCCTCCTGACTTCCTTCAAATCTCATCTAAAATCCAACCTTCTTCAAGAAGTCTTTCCTAGCCACGTTTAATGTTAATGCCTTCCCTCTGTGATTATCTCTAATTTAGCCTGTATGTCTTGGTCAGACTTCAAAGAAGTCCTGCCACTGGACTTTGATGACTCAGGAAGAGAGTGAGGCTAATGACTTTATGCAACTCTGCCTCACACAAGTCAAGACATCTCCCATGATGTCATTGGCCCTCTTCCAAAACGAAGGACAAACAACAATTTCAAAAATCAAGAATTCCAAGAGCCAGGAAATTCACACACACACACACACACACACACACACACACACACACACGACACATATATACCTAAACATTGTTCAGACCTGAGAATTTTACAGTAATAAATGAGTGCTGATGACTAATAATAATGACTAAATGGGGCAGCTAGGTGGTGCAGTGGATAAAGCACTGGGCATGAAGTCAGAAAGATCTGAGTTCAATTACAACCCCAGACACTTACTAGCTGTGTGATGCTGAGCACATCACTTAACCTCTGTTTGCCTCATTTCTTCCTCTGTAGAATGGAGACACACTGGAGAACCATTCTGGTACTTTTGCCAAGAAAATCCCATGGATAATGCTCTTGGAATTATGTAGAGTTAGACACAACTGTATGACACGACTAAATGACTGAACACCAACAATGAAATAAGAGTGGCAGCAAGATGTAGTGGATAGAAAGCTGGCCTTGGAATAAGGTATATTGGCTCTGTGACAGTGGGCAAATCATCTAACCTTTCAGTGTCCTAAGGAACCAAATGACTTTTTAACACTACAGACTTTCTAAGATTATAAATTACATGGAAGGGACTGATTTGCATTGGTTGAGGAAGTTTTTTTACTAGCCCCCTACACTGATGAAATCATAGGTCCGGTTAAAAAAGATTCTAATGCCCTCTTCCCTATCAAAGGACCAACCTTTAGGAAATGAACTAAAATTTCAACCAGAAATATTTAATAAAAACATCTCAAGGGCAGGAGTCATTAGAAAGTGAAATAGCCTATCATGATAAGCCATAGACGTTCCATCTACACAATTGTAATTATGACCTGAAAGTCTGAAGGTATAATTTATCCTATGTACTAGTCAGTAATTTCCATGTCTTTATCATTTTATAGATAACAAAACATTTTTCTCCTGCCTTTTTTCTTTCTGTCTAGCTTATACCAATGGTGATCCCAGATTCTCAAAAGCTATGCAGATTTTGGCAATACCAAACTGAAAAGGTTTTGATTAAGGGTCAGAGTATATGTCTGTTTTCCAAGGAAAAAAAGAGCAGTCTAGCTAAATTCAAGAAGACTTATTACCTAGGTTGGCCTCAGGGTAATACATTTTTTTTTCCATCATAGTAATTTTTGAAGATCGTCTACTAAATCATACAGAACTTGAAATATGTCGAGAGGAGTGAATACATATATAACCTTAAGGATCACTATATTAGGCTTGTGTCTGATGAACTAGATTTTTAAAAGCCCCAAGTTTGTAGTAATTAAAATCCTGTAAGTATAATTATCCAACATAGGAATGGCTTATGGTAATGTACCCAGTTAGAGAGCAAAAACTTTCTAAAAATAGGCTGGGTTGAGGGTAAGGGTGTGAGATCTCAGCCCTGCACTAGGTAAAGTTATTCTCCTGAGTGGCTCCCAGAGCTGTCCCATGAACAAGGAGATGCAAGGACAGATGTTTAAGAAGGGGAAAAAAGATTAGATTAGTCACATGAAGTGTTTAACAGAAAAAAAGGACCTGACCAGGAACAGGTGCCAGTTGCAGCTACCTGAAGTTAGGTAGGGGCTGCATAAGGACTGACAATTTTTCCTGTCTCTTTTTCTCCGAGTGCTTCAGCCACTTGAGCAAGTGCCTGTGATGAACACACACACACACACGTCACAGAGTCATATACTTCTCTATCCATTTAGTGTTCACTTCCTGTGGTCTTCTTTGGGGGCTTAGCTTTGAGTAAGTGAACTCCAGGTGTCACTGTCATCAGACCCCACAACTCACTCAATCTCTCCCCTCTCTCCTCTTTGTCCCTTCTCTCTCTCTCTCTCTCTCTCTCTCTCTCTCTCTCTCTCTCTCTCTCTCTCTCTCTCTCTCTCTCTCTCTCTCTCCTTTTTCTCCCTTTCCCTCTACCTTTCTTTTTTACTCTCCATCTCCAGAGATCCTCAAAAACTCCTTCTATAGGGGGAAATTCCCATTCCTAATATCCTTTAATCTTCTCTTTCCAAGCTGGGAAGAAATCCAGCTCCCAGGGTCTTTAGCCATTTAGGTCACCTTGTAAGAGGCCAGCCAAAGTCTTACCCAAAAGCTGTTACATCTACCCTGATAAAAATCATGGATCCCTGTAGGAGTAAAGTAAAAATAGTGATGTGGTAGAAAGGGCATTGCATAAGAGCTAAGACGTGTTATTGTTTCTTCCTCCTCCACCATTTACTTCTATATAACTTGACACAACTCACTTACCTTTCTGGGCATTCATTGCTTCATCAGTTAAATGAGTTTAATAATATTTTCCATGCTTAAAGGTAGGAGGTGGTTCAATGATTTCTTTTTCTTCCAGCTAAAATCTATGATTCTATGACTCATTAAAGTGATTACAGATTATAAAGTCCTTTATATTTAATCCATTCTTCTCTTTGCAAACCACTCTAAACCCTAAAGTAAATTCATTTGCTGCAAATCCTAAATCAATCAACAGACATTTATTAAATGTTTTCTATGTGCCAGGCAGTATGCTAAGTGCTGAGGATACAAGAAAGGCAAAAATGGACCCTGCCCTCAAGGAAATCACTTTCCAATGTGAGAAACAACATGTAAACAATTATGTACATATAAAATATATAATATAAATAGGAAGTAATCTCAGAGGAAAGGCCCTAGGAAGGGGTTTGGGGTAAGTAGGAATCATTGGGAAAAGCCTCTTTCACGAGGTGAACTTAATATTAAGTCATGAAGGAAGCTAAGGAATCCAGAAGGTAGAAGTGAGGAGGGGGAGGATTCCAGGAATGGGAGACAAACCAGTGAAAAGGCACAGAGTTGGGATATGTTGGGATATGTTTACATGTAAAATAGCAAGATGGCCAGTGTAAATAGACTGTAGCGTCTCACTGGCCATGAAGGTATTTTTTAAGAAGGAAGTTGATAGGCATACATACTGGTCTACAAAATGCCTGTAATATGGTTGCTGTACAAGTTGTTATCAATGACGACCATAGTATTCTTGATATTAATGTCCCTGCCTTTTGTAAGGGCATAGTCAGTTGACAAGGATTTATTAAGTTCCTACTATATGCTAGGCAAGGCCAGAAAATACAAAGAAAGGCAAAGAACAAAACAAAACCAGCAAACTCAGTCCCTGTTCTCAAGAAGGTTACACTTTAATGGGGAAGACAACGTACAAACATCTATGTACAATCAAGATATTTACAGGATAAATTGGGGGAAAAAATCAGTAGAAGAAACGAAATAGCATTAAAGGACATCAGAAAAGCCTTCTTGTGAAAGGTAGAGTTTTTGCTGAGACTTGAAAGAAGCTAGGGAGACCAAGAAGGAGAAATAAGGAGGGAGAGATTTTCAGGCATGGGGGACAGTCAGTGAAAATGCCTGAAATCAGGAGATGCAACGTCTTGTGCCAGGAAACGGTGTCATTGTATTGCAGAATGTATGAGAGAGACAGTAAGGTATAAAAAACCTAGAAGGATAGGAGGGTCCCAGGTTATGGGGAGCTTTGAACACTAAGCAAAAAGATTTTCTATTTGATCCTAGAGGTAATAGGGAGACATTGGAGTTTAACTGAAGTAACTCAAAAGAAACTCGAGAGGGGCAGCTGGGTGGTGAAGTGGATAGAGCAGCCTTGGAGTCAGGAAGGCCTGAGTTCAAATGCAGCACATATAACACTTACTAGCTGTGTGACTCTGGGCAAGTCACTTAACCCCAAATGCCCTGAAAAAAAATGCAAAAAGTGCACGTTAGAGAATCCACCCCAAATGTTCACATGGACTATTTGTGCCTGGACTGTGGTAGAGCATTCTGACCTTGTATTAGTCTGATCAGCCACAGTCAGACACATTGTAACCTGACTCTAACATAGTGATGTTAGTTTGGTCTTCTTTGAGAATGAAGGACAGCAGCTATTTAATAGAAAGGCGATATAATCAAACATGTTTTAGGAAGATCAATTTGACAGCTGAATGGAAGATGGACCAGAGTTAGGGAGAGACTCGAGGTAGGGAGACCAGCTAGAAGGCTGTTCTACAGATTATATATTTAGAATTGGAAGGGACCTTGGAGGTTCTTTAGTCAAACTTCTTATTTTCAGATGAAGAAACTGAGGCCCAGAGAGACTGAGACAACTCTCTTTACACTTTTTTTCTCTACCTACACAATGTAAGTACTTTAAGTCTCCACATTCATTTATCCTTTTAGATACTTTACCTTCAATTTGCCTAAATGCTAAGTTGAGTCTCTTTTTTTTTTTTTAAGGCAATTGGGATCAAGTGATTTGCCCACTGTTGCACAGCTATTAAGTGTCAAGTGTTTGGTCTGAGGTCACATTTGAACTCAGGTCCTCCTGACTTCAGGGCCAGTGCTCTATGCACTGTGCCACTGTCCTGAGCCTCTTCTTAGAAATATCTGGAAGACTGTTGGTGAACTGGAAAAACAAAACAAAATATCTTTTCACATAAAAAAGTATATGTTTTGTTTTTTATGCATAGACAATTTGGGGGTATAGTCCTATTCTTGATTTTAAAAATTAAATTATGTATTTTTTCAATTAACAAAAATCTATCTTTTCTCCCTATCACCTCCCTCACATTAAAAATTAAAATTAAAAACAACACCATTGTAACAAATATGTATACTCAAGCAAAGGAAATTCCCACTTTGGCTATGGCCTCCCAAATGTTTCTCAATCTGCACCATGAAATCACCTCTTTTGTCAAGAGCTGAGTAGAACGCCTCATCAAAGGTCACCTGGAATTGTAGTTGGTCGTTGTTTTGATCAAAATTTTTTTTTTTGGGGGGGGCTAGGCAATAGGATTAAGTGACTTGCCCAGGGTCACACAGCTAGTAAGTGTTATGTGTCTGAGGTCAGATTTGAACCCAGGTCCTCCTGACTCCAAGGTTTGTGCTCTATCCGCTGCCCCTTGACCAGAATTCTTAAGTCTTCCAAAGTTGTTTATCTTGAAAATCTTACTGTTATAGTATAAATAGTTTTCCTAGTTCTGCTCACTAATATATTATCTCTTTTTATTTCTTGTTTAATAAGAGAAATCCTTCTTTTTGCCTGTTAGCAAAATCTATTTTGTCTAAAAATTCTAGAATTTAATGACTGTGTTTCTAGAAGAGCTGAATTTGCAATTCTTCTCCATTGACATCCTATGTGTTCTGAATTTTGACTGTGTCCTCCAATTTTAGCACCTCTGAGAAAGTTTTTTGTGTTGTTTCCTGCCATGATTTTCAGGGTCTATTTATTATATTTTCCAAGAAATCAATAAATCTCAGGTTGTCTCAGTATATCTCTGTTTTCTAGTTCTGTTATTTCATTTGTTTTTCTATCAAGTTTGTACTCAATTGTTTTGTTCTTTGATTTTGTTTAGCAAATTTTTCTTTCTGCTTTGTCATTTTTTCTTCTACCAGTATGTTCTTCATAGATCCTATCATTTTTGAAATTTGCTGTCCGATTTGCAAAACTGCCAAGTCTCTTGTTTATCTGCCTTTTCTCATTCTGATTTTTATTCCATCTTTATAGATGCCAGATTTTCCTTAATTTCTCATATTGAACTTATTAGCTATTCTGAAGAGTTTTGTGATAAATCCATTTTTCCTTTTGGGACTCCCCTCCCCAGTTTGTGATATTTATTTTCAGTTTCTTTTATTTCAAGTATTCCTTATGATGGAACCTTTTTGGAAGGAGTATTTATCCATTTCTTTAGTTGTTCTTTTTTCTTTTAGTTGAGACTTCTTTCCTAGTAAGAATATTTTCTATGGGGGTTATTCATTTCCTTAGTTTGTATTATTGCTATTTTTGAGATGATTTAGGAGAACAAGGCTCAGACATAAGCACTCATTTTACCATCTTTCCTTGCAGAATTTGTCCTGATTTTAGAGACTTCATGATGCCTATTTCATCATTTTGGACTATACTGTTGACTTGGAAAAGGGAACAATAGGAATTAGATATGGGTTTGTCAGTGACAGGTGATGATGCAATTGGCCTAATGTGGATTACAAACTAGGACCAAAGGAGTTCCAAAGATACTTATTTTTTCAGATAAGCCAAAAACCTTAAAGTAAGGCCATAATACCTTTAAGAAGGGCCAAAAGGATCCATTAATAAAAGGAAGATGTTATTATAGGATAGAAACTTGTCCCTAGAGTTACTGTCTTTGCTTAGCATGTAAATCTGAATAAAGAGATGAAGGAGATGGAAGGAGAAATCCAATATAGAGATTGCTTTATTGAGGATATTTCATGCAATTGTAATATTTGGTAATGAATGATCAAGAAATTGTGAGCACATGTTTAAATACAATAAAATTGTGAGGACACATTTAAATATAATAAAATCATAATAGAACATGATTTTATATATACGTATATATATATGTATATATGTATATATATACATATATATGTATGTATATATGTATATATATATACATATATATGTATGTATATACATATATATACATACATTCCAACTATGATGTGTATATTTCTAAAACACGTGTATCACTTATAAAAGTTTAATTTTATATCTAAAATATAAACATTTAGTTTTTTTACCAACATGACCACTTTTTATTATATACTACTGAATCTTGCTATTTATTAATTTTTCAATTTCTTTCCATTCTCAAAGAATATTCTAAAGTTTTGTCCATTGTTTAGAGATTTCATGTTTTGACTGAAATGAAATAAGACAAATGTTCCATTCCATTTTACCAAGTTCTCATTTAGTAGTATTAGATAGGAACCTTGGAAAATTCAAACTGACTTCTCTTACTTACACAGTGGGCATTCTGTCATTATAGAACATTCACTGTATAGTTATTTATTTTGGAAACAGTCAATTCAATTCAGATTGACTGTATTTTATTTGGAGAGGTACATCCGGAGGCTATCTGCTCTCTAAATTCACTTGGTTTTTAGTTATTTTTAGTTATCTAGTTATTGATGTAGAGCTAGGAAAAGTACACCATTAAAAAAAAAGTTGATTCTAAATAACATTAAATAAGAGGCAGTGTTGTATAGTAGTTGGAGATCTAGCCTTGAATCCAGGAAGAGTTGGGTTCAAGTTGAGCTTCTAACACATAGTGACAGTGAGACCCTGGGCAAGTCACTTCTTAGTGCTGCAGGCAATTCTCTAAGACTATGTGTTGCAGAAAAGGTACTGGCCTACATTGGTAGAGGGAGTATCCTCACTCAGTTATTACCTGTACCAGTAACATCACAGATCCAATCCTTATCCTCATCCCTAACGGTACATAAATTAATATCAATAGAGTCCTCCAATCATAGAATTTAGAACTGGAGATCATCTAATACAGGCTTCTTAACTTGAGGTCCACAAACTTGTTTTCAAAAACATGCTGATAACTATTTCAATATAATTAGTTTCCTTTGTAATCCTATATACCATTTTTATGCATTTAAACACATTATTATGAGAAGAGGTTTATAGGCTTCAACAGAGTGTTGAAGGGAACCATGACACATAAAAATACTAAGAATTCATAATCTAGTCCAACGCTCTCATTTTAATAAACCCAGGGAAGTGAAGGGACTTGTTTAAGGTAACTCAATTAGTAAACGATAGATCCATCATGGGGACTCAGGTCATCTGGTTTCAAATGAAGTGTTCCTTCCTCAGAGTTGCAGAAATAATGATAGTGTATAATGATCACCTAGCTTTCAATAAGAAAAATGCATATGAAGTTATATTTCTAATATGCCAGTGTAATGGGGGAAGTTCTTTCATGCTAAACAACATCATGCCACAATGAAAAACATCTCTCCTACTCTTCAATTTTCTTCTCTTTGGCCTTTTGTCAAAGAAGAAAAGAGGATAAGAGGCCAAATAAGGCAGCAGCCAATCAGTCAGCCAATAAACATTTATTGAGTGCCTACTATTAAGAGGCACTGTGCTAAGCACTGGGAATACAAAAAGAGGCAAAAGACAGTACCTGCCCTTAAGGAGCATACAATCTAATGGGAGAGACAAGTAGACAAATATGTACAATCTATATACAGGATAAATAGGAAATAATTAAGGGAGGGAAGACACTGCAATTAAACAGGGTTAGGAAGGGTTTCCTGTAGAAGATAGAATTGTAGTTGAGATTTGAAACTGGTAGGAGGGGATGAAGAGGAAGAACAATTCAGACATGAGATACAGCCAGAAAATAGTTCCTGGAGGTAAGAGATGGAATGTTCATGGAATAGCAAGGAGGCCAGTGTCACTGGATCAAAGAGTACATAGTGGACAGTAAGGTACAAGAAAACTGGAAAAGTAGGAGGGTGTTAGGTTATTAGAGGCTTTTAATGCGAAATGGATCCGCTTAATATTGCAAGGTTACTAAGCAATATTTTAAGTGGGCAGGGGAATGATGCGGAGAAAGAAATGAGAAGTTTGGTCCAAAACTCCTAATCTTTCTTCTCTCTTTTCCTCCCCACTTCCAGCTGCTTTGATCACTTCCTGATGCCTGACTGTCTCATATACTTGGAGTCTTTGCTACCCTTTGATGACAGTGAGTTATCGTACTGTTAGATCTGTCACTTGATTTGGCATTAAGGAACCAGTGCCACAGTACTATAACAGCTAGCTTCTCTTTACTGCAAAAAGTGGTAGCACCCACAAAATAATAAAAATTATAGAGCACAACCTACATCATCTCACTTGGTCTTTCCAGTGACCTTGGGAGCTTGGTAGTACAAGGATTCTCTTCCTCATTTTACAGATAGAGAATCTGAGGTTACAGAATCACAAAAACTTTGAATTGAAAGAGATTTCATATCATCAGCCAGTTTAACCCATATCAAGTCCAAAGAGGTGATGGTCACACAACTAGTAAGTATAACTAAATCAGGATTCACAAGGTCTTCTTATTCCAAACTCAGGGTTGTTTCCTTTGTGCTGTGCTGCCTTGGTGTGATAACTGTCTAAACAATCACATTATGAATGAATTATTTTGAATAAACCAAAATGAAAAAGACAAAGGAAAAAACCTATGAAATTAATTTGGAAATCTTAACATTATGGAAAGTAAACTGTGTGACTTTGCATACTTCAATGAGTTTCAGGCTATGTTTTGTTCAGTTTGAAAATTGTTCTCTCTCTTTAGACTTTTAAAACTATGTCATATGTTTTGGATTGGATTGAATCATACTAGTGACTCAAATCAATTTGGAAACATTACTATTTATGTTCAGTAGGAATTGGGGAACAATTTATTTTGAAAATTTAGAAGTCACTCAGAATTCATTAGACCTCCTCTTCCTCTTTCACAGTCCCCTTCCATGTTGTCTTTGATAGAAAAGTTGCCAGCCCAGATCTAGAGCGTTAATATTGATTCTGTCATATAAGAACAACATAACAACAACAATAGCAGTAATAGCTAGTATTTATATGGCACCTACTATGTGCCAGGCACAGTGCCAAACACTTAACAAATATTTTCACATTTGATCCTCACAACAACCCTGGGAAGTAGGTGCTATTATTATCTCCATTTTACGAATGAGGGAAATGGGTCAAACACATTAAGTGACATGCTCAAGATCACACAGCTAGTAGATGTCTGAGGCTGAATTTGAACTCCGGTTGTCCTGATTTCAAGCCCAGCATTCTATCCACTGTTCCACTTACCTGCCCCAATGATTATGTTACCTGTGATCATAACAGTGTTGATTCTCAACCCATAAATATAGACCTTAAACCTTATGCACGCACCTTCTCATCCTGTGAGATTTTTATTTATGTCTTGCCCAGACCCTCCCTAGATAATTTATCCCATGTCCTAAAGGTGTTCGTTTGATTGTTTTCGTATTTCAGGCTACCTGTGCTACATTTGGACTTTCACTGCATAACTCGCCCTTCTCCTCTTTGGGTCATATGTCCTTGATGATTTTTGTATGCTGCTTTCAGTTGAGTGAGTGTGGATGATATGTTGCAATCTCCTTACACCCATCCATTCAGCGTCTTTCTATTGCCTCTTAGGTCAGCTGCAATTTGAATATTGCTGAAGGCATGGTATTGTGAGATTGGCAGCCACTTAGTATTCCTGAGAAGAATATTAATATTAAATAAATAGTCTTTTGTGGCAATGGGCAGCTTGAGATTGTCCAACGTGATATGCCATTTCCCAAATATAACTCCTCCTGTTTAGTTTTGGGCCCAGATCATTGTTCATCAGTAGTTTCCATCTAAGACACGTGCCCTGTGGATTCCAGTGGGCTTTTGGTTTGTCTTAAGTCCTAATCATAGGCATGCCTGCATAGAGCACAGGCTGGCATATCTAGCTCTATGCCAACCCTTTTCAGGTCTTCAAGACTAAGCTTCTCCTTTGAAATGTAACATCAGCAGAATGTATGATCCTTCATAGGCAGCTAGGTGGCTCAGTGAATAGAGTGCTGGGCCTGAAGAGAGAAAGACCTGAGTTCAAATCCCACCTCAGGAACTTGCTAGCTCTGTGCCCCTGGGCAAGTCATTTAACCTCTGTTTGCCTTAATCCACTGGAGAAGGAAATGGCAAATCACTCCACTATGTTTGCCGAGAAAATCCCATGGACGGTATTGGTGTGCTATGGTCCAAGGGATCACAAAGATTGAACAACAGTCCTTATTAAAAGGTGGAGGTAATTACAAGGCCACACAGTCAGGTGAATAGAAGACTGGTCTTGGAATTAGGAAGACTCATTTTCATAAGTGTAAAACCAGTCTCAGACACTTACTAGCTATGTACTAGCTGTGTAACCCTGAGCAAATCACTTAACCCAGTTTGCCTCAGTTTCCTCATCTGTGAAATGAGCTGGAGAAGGAAATGGCAAACCACTCCAGTATCTTGGCTAAGAAAACCCCAAATGAGGTCACAAAGAGTCAGACGGGAATAAAAAGACTGAATAACAACAATTACAAGACAAAAGATGGACCTTAAGGCAAGTTTCTCCAGATTGTAGGTGAAAGATGAAGTTATAAGGGTAAGGAGTTTAGAATCACATGGAGTGGGAGAGTATTAAACCTATGCCAGCTTGATTTAGTCTTAAAAATTGAATTAAAATAAATTTACAACTTTAAAGTAATGGGCCAAGAGCCTAAGCCTTTAACATTCTGAGATGTGCTATAGGTACCACTAATATAAAATATATATGGTACTTCTCAAGACATCACTTTGTTACTCTACTAACCTAAAGTTCCTCTCAAAGCAGAGGTTTTCATATGCTAAATGAAGACTAGTTACAAAATACTGATGGTGCTGTTATGACTTTTCTCCTGGGTTACTCTTGTGCAAGGCACCTCAGGGGTTAAAGCGAGACTGGAGACATGAGAGATGAAATATGCCTAGGAGAGGTCTACTTGGGGACAAATTGTACAACTCTGCCAGTACCAAAAAATTATAAATTCTGATCTTCCACGTCTGTCCATGAATTACTTGTTATCTGTAATCCTCTATAGGGTAGCAAACAGGTCATTTTTGGCTATAATCTTACAGAATGCATTTTGATCTGCCAAATCAAGTGCTTATCTGGAATTGATAAATAAAATTTAAACATATTTTGTATTTCCTATGCCTTAAAATTTACTATGTGACCATGAAGATGTGGTCAGCCTAGTATATCACTTGACACATGTATGACCATTCTCATAAAGATTTTATAATTAAGAAAATGGATATATAAGCCAATAATTCCTGAAGTCTTTGCAATTGCCTTTTTTTTTTTGTAATATTGTAATGGGGAAAATATGGGACAAACAGTTACTGAAGGGAAGGTACAAGCTTTCATGCAGACAGATAATGAGATTCTGGGTTTTGGAGCCAAAAATGAGGAGAAAACAATAGAATAAGAAAGATGTGGAGAAAAAGCTTAAGTCCTGATTTTGTAAGTTTCCATTTTGAGTACATCCATCTATAGTCATTCCACTTAAATAATGTGAGTGGACTTTTGGACACTGATGCAGTAACTTTTCAAACTTCACTACTTTCACTCCAGAAGAAATGCTGGTAGCAATTAGCCCAGGCTGTAGATGTAGATTCCAAGGGCAAAAAAGCAAGTGGCATTGGCATAGGCCCTGCTAAATAGTGACATCCAACCTGCTGGGACAAGATAAGGCTGATCCAGCTTATTAAAAGACCAATGTATGAATGGAACATATGTCCCTTTCCTGTTAGGTTGGGGAGATAGTGTCAAACAGGGAGTTGGCTACTGCTCTCAATAGACACAAGGGAGGAGACAGTCATTTGGGGTATAAGAACTAAAACAATCCTGTTTAGTATAATCTTTGTTGTTTACCTTGCCTTTTATTTTAAGCCAACTGAATTTTGCTTTGTTCAAATGTCATAAATATGATGAGATTAGTCACAGAAAGAAAATGGGACTTGGAGCAGCAATTTGAATAGACAGTAAGCCTGATGTATGGCTTAAACCAAAGGTTACTTTCAAGGGGTTCATGTTTGAAGGCAGCCTGGGCTGTGATTATAGCATCCATTTTCCTTTTTCCTTTTTCTGAAATCTTTTTCCTAGCTCAGAATGCTTAGAAATTAATCCCTGAGTATCTTTAAAACTGTGATGTTTCCAAAACGGATTTCTTCAAGATATATTCAGTGAGGTCTAGTCATTCTTGTGAAATGCATCTTCGTAGGTGTCGTTGTGACTTCCACACATAATGTGCTGTGTACTGGGGTAGTTAAAGGAGCAGAGAAGACAGTTACGGAGTCAAGAGTCTAGAAGTTGTGCTTCTTCCATTATCACTGAGTCACTGAGGTGAATAGATTGTCATAGAAACATTAGCAGGTTTGTTCCATTCCATGTCTGTTTGTTGTCCTTTTTATTTCACCCACAAAAGGCTTAGCTGAGTCTTATGCCAGATTTGCTGCAGGCTTTCTTCCCCCTTCAACTGCTTTTTGTTCTTTCGGGTGCTGATATGCCTGTGATCTTTTATCTTCCTTTTTTATAATATTTTGCAAATGAACTTGGGACTTTAACAAGTATTGCTCTTAGCTACTATGTATTTCCAGTTGGCAAGATCAAGTATTTGTTGGTTAATATGACTTCTGGGATCTTTCACTCTTTTCATCATGGTGACATTTTGATAAACCTTCTTTAAAAAATAGCTGGAGACCATAAAAGATGGTGGAGTCAAAGGAAGTGGTACCATCTGATTCTCTTCCACAATTATCTTGGGCCCTTTTCTCTTCTACCACTGTACTACTTCATTTGGTGATCTGTCATCAGCTACTATGGATTTAATTACCATCTCTATGCTGATGATTCCAAAATTTACCTATCCTGTTCTAACCTTTCTGCTGACTTCTTGCATCTCCAACTGCATGTCAGACATCTCCAACTGGGTGTCCAATAAACATTTTAAATTCAACATGTCCAAAATTGAATCTGCTGCTGAACCTGCTCCCACCTCTTATCTTCCCTATGCTCAGAGGGCACCACCTCCCAGTCCCTCAGGCTTGCAACCAAGGTGCCATCCTGGATTCGTCACTATTTCTCAGCCCCTATATCCAATATGTGGCCAGTGCCCATTGATTTTGCCTTTGCAGCATCTCTCTAATATACCCCCTTTTCTCCTCTGACACTGCCAACACTCTAGTACAGGCCCTTATCACCTCATTACTGGATTATTATAGTAGGTGCTGGTGGGTCTGCCTCTCTCAAGTCTCTCCCCACTCCAATTTAAGTTCTATTCAGCCACCAAAGTGACTTTCCTAAAATGTAGGTCCTAACATATCACCCCACTACTCAATAAACTCTAGTGGATCCCTGTCCCCTCCAGGATCAAATACAAAATCCTCTGGCACTCCAAACACTCAATAACATAGCTCCCTTCTACCTTTTCAGGCTTCTTCCACCTTACTCCTCACTACTCTTTGATCCAGTGGCAATGATCTCCTTCCTGTTTCAAGAATAAATATTGCATCTCTTAACGCCAGGCATTTTTTTCATTCAACAGCTTGTCTAATAGGTAATTAACAGGGTTGAAATGATTATATATGGTGTGTTCTCACATTTATTCTCCTAGCTTGACATTGATATTGATATCTGCTTTAACCAGCAAAAATATTGTGTCTGCACACAAGATAGAGGATTCTGGAATGGCTCCCATTTCAAAAATTATTGAATTTTTGCTGTCTGGGAAGAGTTTATTTTTTTTCAATGATGGCTACACTTAGTTCTTTATTAACTTTCTTCTTGGAAAAAAATATCATAATCAGTTATGAGGTTTTTGAGTTGTCTACAAATCTTTGGTCTCTTTCTTTATTGATCTTGAACCATATTTTCAACAGCTTTTTTCCGTCTTCCACCATGCCTGCCTTCACTTTGAAATCATTGAGTATTGAGTTACATAGAGTGTTTTAAAAGTCTTCATGTAGTTTTAAGGTATTAAAGTTTAAAACTCCGCCAAAACCTTGAGACACTGTATATTTTGCCTTGGTGTAGAAGATCTCATCGAGGTCTTTTTTAGACTCTCCACTTTGTCATCTATAACAGTTGTTAAGATGTAAGCTGCAAATATTTTTCTGTCAGGCTGTTTATACTTGTAAGCACAACAAGGCAGTAAGGCAAGATAACTAAGTATTCCATGAAACTTGTTTCTTGAGCCCTTTGGCTCATGATCAAACCAATTCTATCAACCTCCTAGTTTGCCTTCCTGAAGAGAATTTGTGAGCAAACCTTCTATTTTGGTTTCATTTATGGCAAGAATGTAAATATGGAGGTGATTGACTTGGGATATGTTAGTACTTCTAGACATTGGTCATTGAAATCTCACACATTTAGAATGCCAGTCATTAAAGTGATATTTGTAGAAAAGGTACAAAAACTGTGTGATTTTAGGTCTTTCTCTCCTCTTTTGTATCATTCTGTTGTATCATGGCAGAAACAAGACTGGGTCACACAGTACTAGGTGGGGTTTTTTTGTTTTGTTTTTATATTTTTATCTGTTTTGTGAGTCATTATGAGGATGAAGCTGATAGCAGGGAATGCCCATGAATCACATATATTCTCTGTTTCTCAGTTGACAATGTTTGTCTGTCTCACGGAGATATGAAGAGCTCTACATGAATGGATACAAGAGGACAATGGATCATACTTAAATGCTTAATTCCCTGGTAAAGTGAATGAATATAAAACAAGATCCTTCCCTAAAATATTTATTGTGCATCATTTCATATTAATGGTTTGTTGATGTCCTCCATTTGTCTATAAGTTCCATAAGGATAGGAACTTGATCTTTTCTAAACTCTGTACTCTTACCTTCTCATCTTTCACCACCAAATTTAGCATTTAGCACAAAGCTTTGCTTACAGTAGGTACAATACCCATGTTTGTTAAATTGAATTGAAAGGCATATAAAATGTTTTTATAACACCAGAAGCATGATTTAGGACATTAAAGCATAATTTTTAGACTATTTATCATTACTGCAGGATCATGGGAAATAATGAGGGGAGATACAATCCATCAACCTGGCATGTAGTTATTAGAAGTATATGAATATCCAAGAGGTAGAGCCACAAATAGAAATAAGTCACATAAGTAGCCTCTGTGGTAGTGAAGACCTTACATTCTCTACTACGTCCTGCTGGCCCCACACACAGAGCAAAATCACATTGCTTCTGAACATTAAGAGATATGAAGAACAAGTAAATACTTTAAAATATGTTTATGGTGTTTTTTGAAATACTTGGGTTTTATGAGCAATTTTACCTATCACCTAGTGTATGCCCACTGTAGATTTTTATCCTGGCAATATATTACTCTTCTCCAGGACTTTGGAGAAACGTACTTGTCTGACTGGAGTTCATTTCATATACCAATTGCTCCCATAACAAATGTGATTGGTTTCCTTCTCTTGTGCACAGAGATGGGATGGTAACAACACTGTGTTAGAAGAGGGAAAAACTCATCCCTTAATGGTAATAACATTGCCTTCTTTTAAGGGCCCTACTTCTCTGCTTTTCCCATATTTGGTAAAGTTAAAGAATAGGAATGAGAAACATTAATAATGATGGCATGTTTATGTAGTGAAGATTGAAGGTGAAAAAAAGGGAAGAAATAATGCATGCACTGTGCATTTTAGTCAAACTAAAGGAAGCATTTGAATGTATTAATCTGAAGCTGCTAGAGACACTCTCTTTGGAAATCCATCCCTGCCTGACAGTAATAATGGTAACTCTCTTCATAAGGCTTTTGACTCAGGGAGTCTCCTGATCTCTCCACTCTGTTTTTGTAGGAAGGTCCTATAGTTAAGAGCCAAGGAGGGTGATGGGTAGGCTCTGCTTTGTTTCAATGATGCTTAGCTATTTGGTTCCACTTACTTAGCCATGGCAGCTGTAGCTCTGACACAATCCAGGTGTAGTTTAGAGGGGAAATTGAATGGGCCTGGCGTTATCATAGAGACTATTTGCCATGCACTGGCCTTAAAGTACCTATGATTCATTGACTCTTAAGGACAGAAAGAAGGCCATAGATTCTGGGTTCCAACAAATAGGGTCATTATTTGGGTTTTGGTGGCTCAGAGTGAATATAAATAGCAATCACTTTTTGTTCTGGCCAGAAACCCTGAGGGTCTTCTTCTCCCAGATTGGTTTTTTTAAGTAGTAAAAGAAGCCTTTTTTTGGCCTCATTTCTTACCTAGCCTTAATCACTGAATGAGTGTTACCTCAGACGAACTGAAGCCTGGGAAAGACCTTAGCTTAAAAAGGCCAAGGTCTCCCACTGCATTCAGGGCCATCTCCGGTCATCCTGATCTGTATCTTGCCACTGGATTCAGATGGCTGGGGAGGACAGAGAGAGGATGGTGACTTTGCACAGCCCTGCCTCACTTAAATCCAATTCACTTGCAAGTCAAGACATCACCTTCCTGATGTCAAGAATAAACAACAACAATAATCCAACAGATAAGAATTAAATACAAATTAGTATTCCATTGTTTTTTCTTAAAGGGTAGAAGTTGCTTAGATATTCAACTCAACAATTATTTATTATAATATGTGGATTCATGGTAGAATGAAGATTTAGTTTTCCTCTAAAGAAGAGGAACTCTGAACACTAAGCTCAGAGCTCTCCAGAGTAGAAAATAAGCCTCTTACAAACAGCAGTATTCTTCCCTTAGTTTATGAAATGAATAATAATAATGGCTCTCATTTATACAGCACTTTAAGGTTCACAAAGCATTTTACCTATGTTAACACATTTGATTCTCACAGCCTAGTGTGGTAGAAGCTACTATTATCCCTCCTTTACATATGAAGAAACTCATTCTGAAGGACATGAGTCAAACATCTGCCTGTCTGAGGCAGAATTTGAATTCCAGTCTTATGGAATCCAACTCCAAAATCTAATTGCCAAGTCAATCATTCAATCAAGCATGTATTAAGTTTCTATGTGCCAGCCCTGTGCCAAGCACTGGAGATAAAAAGACAAATATGATTCAGTATCTGCCCTCAAAGAGCATACATTCTTTAGAGGAAGAAAATATGTGCAGATATAAATATATTAGCCAACATTTATTTGGTATTTACTATGTGCCAAGCACTTTACAATTAGTATCTCATTTGATTCGCAAACAATCACATGAGGTAGGTGCTATTATTATCTCCATTTTACAGATGAGACAATTGAGGCAGACAGAAGTTAAGTGATTTCCCCAAGGTCGTATAGCTAGTAAGTGCCTGAGGTCAAATTTGAACTCAGATCTTCCTGACTTCAGGCCCAGTGTTCTGTCCACGGCTGCCCTCACCTATAAAATATATCTTAAACAAATACAAGGTAATTTCTAGGAGTCACTGGCAACTAGGGAATTAGGAAAGGTATCACATAGAGCTGGAAGGGGAGGCTGAGCTGAGTTTTGAGGGAAGCTCGGGATTCTAAGAGGCAGAGGTGAGTGCATTCCAGGTGTGGTAGAATGGTATGTAAAGGCAAGGCAACAGAAGATGCCATGTTGTGTATGAAGAAAAGGAAGAAGACTAGCAGGACCATAACACGTGGAAAGGGGAGAGATACATCGAAAACTTGAGAAAGTAGATGGATCCTGGTTGTGAAAAGATTTAAATGCCAAACACAAAAATTTGTATTTGATCCTATAAGCAATGGAAAGCCACTGGAAATTATTAAAGAGATTAAGGAAATTATGGCATGGGAAGGTAAGAGAAGGGAAGGGAAGGGTGTGACCTATGCTTTAGGGCAGGTACAGCAACTATCTGGAGAATGGATTGGAGAGGGGAGAAATGGTAGAGGGAGAACAATTAAAAGACTGTTGCAGGTGAAAATAAGGGAACCGCTGCACGTATGCAGATGAAACACACTTAACCACTTTTCTTTCTTGTCTATGTATGGCAGTAAACCAACTTATCTGTAACTTACAGTATGAGAATAGAGGTTTATAGATGACCACATGATCATGGCCAAATTGATAGATTCCCAGAGGCAAAATGAATCCTATTTCCAGATGTTCCCATGTTAGTAACCCTAACATCAACACAGATGTCCTCCTGCCAGCACTTTATGCTTTATACGATGTATCTGAGCCACATGTATCTAAGGAGGAATGTGTGAAAGAATCCTTTGGAGTTATTGGAAACTTATCAGGACCTATCCAATATTATTGATCATTAACCTTCTCCTAGCCACTCAAAAGGGAATTTGACCTCTCAAAGCAACCTTGGCATGACCACAGGGGCATTAGACAAGTGGTTTTATAGAAGAGGGTACAATAGGGGACTGGGAAAGGATGAAGCTCAAACTTTTTCCATCAACACTTAGCCAATTGTATAGCATGTTAAGATACAGTGATTTACAGCAAGACCAGCCAATCAGATTGCCTTCCTTAGTAAGTAACAAGTATATTTTGAATATCTGCTATGTGTTAAACCAGTGTGGGTTAAAAATTCATTTTAATTTCTTTAGGCGGCTCAGTGGATAGAGTGCTGGGCCTGGAGTCAAGAAGACTTATCTTCCTGAGTTCAAATCTGGCGTCAGATACATACTAGCTGTGACCCTGGGCAAGTTACTTAAACCTATTTGCCTCAATTTCTTCATCTATAAAATGTGCTGGAGAAGGAAATGGCAAACTACTCTAGTGTCTCTGTCAAGAAAACAAGAAAAAGGGGTCACAAAGAATTGGACATGACTGAAAAAATGACTGAACAACAGATCAACATTGTTATGATAACTGAAATTTCATGATGAGTTTTATTTGGTTAAGGTCCCTTTTTCCCCAACATATTAAAGGATCTGCCATTTCATTGATGTGGATACTTTTACTATCAACACATATTGCAACCTAGTGCCCTGGTCAATGGATGCATGAGTTGCTATGGTCCCAAAAGGGAAAACAAAATAATCACCTGATGATGGCCAATCTTTGATGTTTTTAGTCTCTAAATTTAGACTCATCCTCAGGTGACAAATCATGCTGGGACCATTTTGGAAGCCTTTCTAGCTTGGTAGGATCTGCCAGAAGTTTGGTTGTGCCTTAATCAGTAAGTATTTTCCCTTTGGGAAAATGTTAAACAGAACTCTAAGTTCATGTTGCCATAAATGTGCAAATGAAGCCAAACTATGTCTCCTGGATGGTTCTAAACACTAGACCATGCTTTGGCTTCACATCCCATCCAGCCAGCCATCTAGGCCATTTGCCTGCTACTGTACTGACTACCATCATCCCCCTTCCTCCTATCCCACAACAAAACACTGTGGCCTTTAGGAGCTTCACCTTTAGTTCATGATGAGGCATCAGGTTAGACCCCCCAGAGGAAGAAAATTTTTTATAATCAACCAAATCGATCATTTTTTTTGCATTTCCCATGACTTCTGAAAATCTCCCTTACTTGATGGATCCTACAGATCCATCTCATCTCTTTTTGAGAGATGTCTAGTTTGCTGTCATACTGATTAAATCATTATTTAGTAGAAAAAGGTAAAATAATTTTAAATGTTTTGACCTGGGACTCAAGAGACCTGCCTTCTGGTCCTGGTTTGGACACTAACCTTTGTAAAATGATGGAAATAGACAATGAATGAATGAAGAAATGAAGAAAAAAATCATTTAGGCATTGTGCTAAGCACTAAGGATACAGAAATTTTAAGAATAGACAGATTACATTTGTTTAGGGAAAGACCACGCA